AAATAATAAAAATATTACAATAAAGGAGTAATTCTTTAAAAAAGAGAGAGAGAGAGAGAAAGCAAGCAAGAAAGAGAGAGAGAGAGAGAGAGAGAGAGAGAGAGAGAGAGAGAGAGCGCTAGCTCACCTGGCTTCCATGTTCCAGTCCCAATCTAGCACTCATTTCCAGAACCACAAGGAGCAACCCACACAATTAATTTAGGGCAGAGGGAGCCCCTCTGCCTGCTGTCCTGGCACACACTGCCCTTCCCACTCTCTCTTCAGGCATTCTGTGTCCTTGGAATAGCACAGGGTAACCATCAGCTCCCTCAGGGTAGCATCAGCAAGGACAGAAAATGGAGTCAGGCAAAGCAGCTCCACTGCTTCCTGACTCTGTGACCTTCTCTCAGTTTCCTCATTGTAAAGTATAAATAATACTCGTGAACACCTAATCTTACAGGACTTGATAACTGCTGCCCTCAGCCAGTATCATCATTATTGTCACACTTCTGTAGTTCAAGCTCCACTAGGGAAGAGAAGTAACACAGACCTGGGTTTGGTCCCATCTCCACCACCAAGTGGTGGTGTATCCACAAAATGGGGGGAAAGAGTCCCTACCTCTCAGTGGTTTTGAAGGAACACATAAATGTGACCTGTTCCTGCTATTATTATCCAACATCAAGACAGCCTGGGAAGGGAGGAGCACAGTTGGGACCTTGCCCCTGCCTGTCTGCAAATGCAAAATCAATCCCAAAGCATTTTCTGAAGGCCTGTCCGATATAGCATGCCGAGAGGCGTGAGAGTGAAGTATGCATGTGGTTCCCATCACAGAACACTACACCTACCTGCGCATAGGCACCAAATTAAATCAAAAAAAATCAAAGAGGCCTACACAGTAACACTAGGACTCCAGGGCCTGAAAAACCTTAATTATACCTCACCTTCTATTTCAAAAGGACCCAAGAATTCAGAAAAAAAAGTACAGTGAACCGCAGACATTTACATCTAAGATCCCACCTCCCAAGTTTAACAGATATTTACATTTTACTCCATTTACATTAGATTCCTTTTTTAAAAAAATAAAAGTTATCACTGAAGTCTCCCCTGCTCCTACCTTCTCTCCCTAAACAATGTTTCCTCCAACTACTGTGTAATTCCTACAAATATCTGACCTCTTACAATTAATCCTTCTGTAGGTATATATAGCCATAAACAGTACAGGTATGTCTCCACTTGGTATGTTTTTTAACTTTACAGCATCTTTTGCAACTTGTTTTTTCCACTCAACACAGTAACTGGAGATTTATTAAAGTAGTAGGTAACTCAAACCAGATTCCTTTCATATAATGGAACTGTGCACAACAGTTAAAATGAACCAAAGCTACATGGAGAACCTCACCTTTCATGGACACCCCCATGACACTATATTTCCAATAACTTGATAATGTTCTTTAAGTAAGAGTAACCTTTGCTTTCACAATTGAATGGATTTCTCTCCATGAAGCAGCCACAGAAAGGTTCAGAGAAGTGAAGTAACCTGCCGAGTGTGTCATAATTACCTAGTAAATGGCACAGCCAGGACTCAGCCCCAGGCCTATTCAAAGCCCACACCTATGACACCATTAAATGATTCTACTTTTTTTTTTTTTACACAAGAAACCGGGGTACAGGCCAGATGCGCAGGAGGGTGAAAGGATTCACCAGAGACAGAGCGAGGAACAGAACAGGCAGACTGACAAAATACACTGCTGAGGGGAGCAGCAGGCTAGACAGGAGAGGTCTGCAGGGCCATGTGGGACCCTCGCCGGCCAGCCAGGATTGAACAGGCGCTGCAGAGGCTGCAGACAGCTTCACAACATGGCGTTCAACCGCATGCGCCACCAAGGGAGGCCCAATTCTACTTCTTAATCTTTGCTTTCCTACTCGGTTTTCTGGCTCTAAATGGTTGCCTTTTGCCCAGGACTCTACCTCCAGAAGTTTCACATACTAATTGAGAAAGCTGAAGCAAGACATTACAGCTACTACTCTTTTTAATGGTGGGAGGGAGAAAAAGAGTAGAGTGGGAGGAAGATCCTAAATGTGGACAGTGGGGATGAGGCTTCCTCACCTTTGGGGTAACCACCTGGGGGAACTGGGCAGTGACCTGGGCTCATGTAGGCTGAGAGGGACTGATCTTCCCAGGAATTAACATGCTTATGTACAAGACGCAGTAGCTGTATTTCCAGTTGCTACTGGGATCATTACTTTGACCTCTCATCTACAATGGCAAAAACAGCAATAAAAATAATAATAAAATCCTGTAGACTGGAATAAATAGGATAAGCATTCTCACAATCCCAAAGCATGCTCTGGCTTTCCAAGAAGCCAGCTCCAGGCAAGGCCCAGGGATACCCTGTTCTATCTACTTCATCTCAAGCAGGCCACTGAAGGAATGATTTTTGCTCAGGTCAGAGGGGACATTAGCAATGATAGCAAGCTGTCATTGAAACAGCAACACATCTCCCCTCTAGCTGCAATCCTTGCCACCTTAACATCAGACATGTGTGTGACACAGAGCGCATACCATACCTTTCTAATCATCACTTCCATCCCTTGCATATTGCACTTGACAATCTCTGAGGTCTCTCCCAGAGCCAAAAAGGTCTGGGGGGTGAGGAGGCAGAGGTGTGCAGATCCTCTCAGTGGACTGAGGGTCACTTGGGGGTAAAAGGATTAACTTAGTGCCAAAGGAAAATATTATTCTTTGATGTGGATAACATCAAAGAGTTAAATGAGAGTGAAAGTATCTCTGCTATTTTTATTGATCTGCAACACCTGGGATAAAACGAATCTGCTTGCTGTGCAAAGTGGGTCAGGAGACAACTGCTCCTCCCTTAGGGAAATTCTAGCTTTCACCCCAGGGGGGCACTTAGTAAATGTTAGCAGAGAGAGAATGCTAACAGAGAAAACTGCAAAATAACATTTTTTTTCCTCCAAGGTCACTTTGAACAGTGGATTTGAAGCTCTCCCTTCTTCTGGGAGGGGAAAGGTTTGAGTGAGATAAGGCATGTTCTCCAGTCCAACTCTGAAACTAGAACTGTGCCAGTTTCCAGAAGAAAAGTTTCTACCCCAAGGGACCTCTGAGGTCTATTTTATCTGACTGCAAAGGATAAAAATTAAACTAACTCCAGTATGGAATGGAGTTGCACATGGATCTCCCACCTTGCATCTTTCAAGCTGAATGTGGCTTCTTCTCCAGGGTTACAGAGAGTGCTTGAGAGGGAAAACTACATCAGAAAAACTTTCTTCTATAATCATAAAGTTGAATGGAACATGAGAAATTATTGACTCCTACCTACTCATTCTTGGTACTATGAATCATGGTCAAAAGTGATTGAGGGAGCCATCCTGGTGGTGTAGGGGTAAAGTGTCAGGGCCTGCATTCCAATCCCCTGCCAGGGAGCTAACCCACATGGTACAGCAGACCTCTCCTGTCTTGCCCATTGCTCCCGTTGCTCCCCTCAGCAGTGTATTTCAGTAGATCCACCTGTTCTGCTCCCACTCTGTCTCTGGTGAATCCTCTTACCCCCTGCATCTCTGGCCCACACCCCAGTTTTTGTATGCATAAATAAAATAAATCTTTCAAAAAAAGTGATTGAGGACTTATGGGTTAAAGATTTCAAAAGGTTCTGGGTAAATAAACAAAAATAATAATAGTGACAGGAAGAGGTAATGGTATTCAACTTGTAAATAAAAACAAAAAAATTCTTCTTCCTTTACATGCAGTACCTAATATACTATAAGCAGAATGGTGGTTGCCAGGGATGAGTAAAGAGGGGTCTGGGGTCTGTACTTAATGAGTAAAATTTCAGTTTTTCAAAATGAAAAGAGTTTTGGAGATGGATGGTGGTGATGGTTGCATAATAATGTGAATGTGCTTAATGTTACTGAACTGGACACTTTAAAATGATATATCTTATGTGCATTTTACCACAATTTCAAAAATGGAAGTAGCGAGAATACTAGAAATCTCTTAACCAACTAACTCATTAGAGACAGACTGTCCCTAATAGTGGTTAGCAACTAAGACTCTGGAGTCCTGACTTCCTTTTTCTGTTCTGTATTTACTAACTGGGTGACTTTGTGGAAGTCGCCTGACATCTCTGAGACTCTTTCTTCATCGACAAAAATGAGAACAGTAAGAGTAGTAATAGACTTCTACCTCATAAAGATAAGTGCATCTTATTGGCACAATTATTATTATTATTGTGAATTTTGGTAATAAGTTTATTATTTAATGTTACTGAAAAGTCAGCAACGATTTAAAAAATTAAATTATCATAGTATATTGTCACGTAGGCGGATAAATGTATCAGATTCCGTTTTGAGCAGAAAAGAGACCCAAGTTAGGAGTTAGAAGACTTGGCTTTTGTGAGTGGCTGTGGGTGTGAGATTTCTCCTCCACGCAGGGGTTAACTCAGATGACCTCTTTGATTACCAGAAAGAAAGATCAGCTTTGCTGCTCGGCAGGAGACAGCCCTGGAGCTGCACCTCCCTCACCGCCTAAGCTTCTCTTCTTGGGACGTCCCGAGCTGAGGAAAAGGTCCAAAGGTCTGCCAGCGTGCATGGAGGGTTGATTGCAAAGCCTCTACCTACGCCTGAGGCGGTGACATAGTACAAAATATGTACCAGACACCCACGGATCGGGAGCCAGGGTTCCTCACCCTCGCTCCTGCCTTGCTAAAGTCTGCACGCTAGCGTGCTGGGGGAGTTGCGGGAAACCTGCAAGCCTCACAGGTCCTCTGTGAGACCCCAAGGTAAGATATCCCCCAAAACAGCCTGGGTAGCAGAATTATAAATACCTCCCCACACATGCGCGCTGCGATTTACTAGCGGCCCAGGGCACAACGCGCGCCCACTGCGCCTGCGCACTCCGGCTCCCCCGGCGGGGCTCAGGACGTTACAGGACACAGTCGCCCCGCGAGGAAGAGAAAAGGATGGGTGTGCGGTGGCTGCTCGACTCCCCTTTCCTCGTTTCTTACCTCATAGTGCTTCATGGCTCTCTCTCACACGGCGAACACTACTCTGTTCCTGCCGCTGCTGCTGCTGTTGCTGCTATTTACCTGCGCGCGACGCGGCTATGGGTCTTTCACGCGCTCGAGACCGCTGCGCGAGACTGACCGCGGCTCCACGCCCGCCCCACCCCTCCCTGCCGCGCGCGCCCCACCAGCCAATCAGCGCGCGGGGCGCCCACCTTCGCCCCCGCCCTGCAAGGCGGTCTGAGCTAGGACTAGCTGGTCTCGCCACGGGGCTGGCCAATCAGCCTGCGAGAACCACCCTAGGGGGCGGAGCGAGGGCAAGATGGGAGGTTAAGAAGGGGTTTGGCCAGCCACCAATCAAAAGGGGGTCTCTGCGCCGCGAGCTCCTTGCCCCGCCCCCTAGAGGCGTCGCTGTGGAAACCGAGGGAAGCGACGGTTAGTGCAAGGCGGGGGGCGGGAGCAAGAAGTTGAGTGACATGGGAGGGCCGCATCCACATGGCGGGCGGCGCGACTGAGTGAATTCCGAGGTGGGCCACCTGGGGGGTAACGGGGAGCAACAGGACAGGAATAGGGGTCCTGGGGACGTGAGCTGAAGCTCCTGGACTTAAAGGCCTCCCCGGCTAGAGGAGGCCAGTAATGAAAGGGCGGGAAATGGGTAGGGGACAGCAGCCTAGGATCCCGCAACCTGCAAACCCGAGCCCTCCCCACCTTCGCAGTGTGTCTTAACCGCCCTTTTCAATGCGCAGCCCCTCCCCAGCCTGCTCGCCCCTGTGGGCGGGGCCCACGTTTGTCTCTACCTGCGCTGTCCAGTATGGTTAGCACATGTGAGAGGTGGCCGGTTGAAATTAAGACGACCAATTTCAAAATTTTACTTAAAAAGGAGCTCGTCGTAATCATTTCTGTTGGTTACATTGAAATCATATATTGGATTAAGACATTACAGAAGTCTCTTTTTAATTTTATAAGTTTATATTTATCTTTTTTAATATGCCTGTTGGGACATTTAAAGTCACAGATAGGGCTGGAGTTTGTGGCTTGCTTTTGCCTCCCACACACTAATCCTAATGGAGGAAGCTGGTCTGGAGCCATGTCGTGCTTTTACTTCCTTGATTGTCATCAGGTTGGGGAGGTTGGGGGCCACCTCGTTCACATATGCACAGACACATGCACATACTCAAAGTTTCAGGCTAAAGGAATGGGAGCACCTGGCACACTCCCTCACCTTTATCCTGCTTTCCTCACCTTTCTCTCCTTTCTCCTGCTTCTAGACCATGGCCCTGAGTCTTCATCAACAGTTGAGCCCCTCGGAATCCAGAGGCCTGGCATCAGGAACATGGTGAGAAGTCCTCAGGGGATAATGGGTGGGGTCAGGGTGAGTCAGTGCATAGTTAGCACTTAGTCATCCATGTTCAGTTCTGGAAACTTCTGAACCTACAGCTTTTGGGGAAAGTAAAAGTCTCAAAAGAGTCCTCAGAGACTATCTTTTTCACTGAGTCTATCAGGGGCAAAACAGATGAAACCATAAAGATGTCTTATAACTCTGCTTCCAAAGGAACAGATGTTTCCATTTGCATTTGTGGGGTTCATAGTATCTTGAGACCCTCTGTATTCTGAGAGGTCCTCATTCTCTTTCCTCACTGAGGTTGAGTACTCAGTCAGAAGCCACCAGTTTAAATCCTCAAATTGTGAGGTGCTGAGGAAGTGGGGTTGAAGCCCTAAATTCTAGCCAAACGTTTCCACTTTGCCAGTTCTGCCAATTTCCACCTTTGATGTGGTCTAAATAGGCGTATCTTCCATATCACTTCATCCAGCTAGATGATGTATACAGTATCCAAATAGATGTTACTTTGAGAGATTCCATGCACATTCTTATAGACTTGAAACATTCTGGAATTTTCCTTTAAAGGCTGCTTTTTTGAGTCCCACATTAATTCAACAGGCACCAGAGCATTTTGTGAACCTACTATATATGCTGTATGCCAGGTGGGGCATCCAGATAATTTTCAACACCCCTCTCATCCTCATAAAAAGGCAGGATCCAGCATTGAGGAGAATTTCTCCTTGTTTTTGAGGGGTTTTGCAAGCTTGAGGACCCCCTGGTTAACCTCATCTGGTTTCTAGTAACCGGGCTATCAGCAGAAATCAAGTCCACCCTCAGAATGAAGACTGGCCTCTTTGTTCAAACTCTTCATGACTCTGTACCTGACTGTAACTGTCTATAAAGGCAGCAAGGTGTTGCTTGTGCCCTAAGTATCCCCAGTACAGTGGCTGAATTATTCAAAGTGACAAGTAGATACATTGGGTATCTGCTGAGCCTAAAATAAAACAAACTCTTTAAAGCAGTTTCCAAGGGGAAATTCCAGAAAGGTCTTTCCCGATGAGTGGGGGAGTTTCCAGAGTTAGTGAACACTAGGAAATTTGGGGAGATTGGCGTGCCTTGAGAGGGTATAGAAGTTTCAATTCCTTTCCCTGTACCTTGACCGATGCTTCTCTTTCATCTGGCTGTTGGTTCATATCCTTTAGTAGCTGCTGTAATAAATTAATGATCTAGTGAGTGAAAAAGGAGGGAGAGAGGAAATAAAGATTAGTGCAGGGGGCCTCTTTGGAGCTCAGATTTGGGGGATCCCATAGTCATTTGGATATCGAATATCTGAGGTGTTTGGTTGTTTATATCTCACAAACCCCTTTCGTATTATCCACACTCAAATAAGATAGGATCTCGATTTTTCCCAGAACCTGGCTCAGCTTGTTTTTTCATGTATAACAGAGCTGATTCAGAGCCCTGTGAGGGAGGGCAAAGCTGAGACCAGACAAGCCAGAACTGGTTAGCAACTTTCTGCTGTGCCAGGAGCCCTACAGTGAGGGTTCCCAAGTCCAGCCTCTCTTATATTTTCATTATTTTTTAAGCCATGGGATTTTTTTTTTTTACTATAATTTACATATGGTAAAATTCACCTTTTTGTTGGTGTACAGTTCTGAATACATACAGTTGTAAACACCACCACCGTCAAACTGTAGAACATTTCCAGTGAAATTCTGAAATGCCCAGTGAGTGTCCAGGTCAAAGAATCAGTCATAAGGAAACATGTTGGAGTATTTTTGGCTTTGCATGCAGCTCATGGGGCCGGGGGTGCGAGGGGGTATTTAAACAATGAAAACTTCCTAAACTATGACCCAGGCTTACTCAAGGATGAGGGAGTACCCATCCCTAACACAGGGACATACCTTGCCCGTTGTTCTTGACCCACCCATATGAAAACCTTTGTGGGGGAGGGTACCTCATTTATAAGTCTAAATTAAATTCATACTACAAAATTCTAGTATACGAGTATGAGGAGGTCCACAAGCTCTGTGCTTTTCCAGGTATGATGACTCTGCACTATTTACACAACTATTTAAGAAGTGAATTATCTGCCATTGTGATTAGTTCAGGACCTCTTCAGTGTTCTGTGCCCATGGGTGCCCAGCCCAGACCAGTCCTCTTAGGTTGGCCTCTGTGTGTCCTACTCCGGAGTCTGAAGTAGGCTACTCTTCAGAGAATGCAGTGGGAGAGAATGCAGTGGTGTCAGAGAATGCAGTGGGAGCTGTGATCCCCTATCTGGACAGCTGAAGGCCATGGTCCCAGCCTGCACAAGGGACAATCACCAGAAGCTTTTTGCTGTGGTGCTACCAGGAGGGAGATGGCTCAGCAGCCGAATACTCAGTTAGTCACCTGCTGGACAGCACTTCCTCTGTGCCGGGACTGTCCTGAGCATTTTTTTTTTTTTTAGGAAGAATACCCATCAGTGCTTTCTTTTTCTTTTTTTCTTTTTAAGATTTATTTATTTATGCATACATACAGGGTACAGATCAGAGGTGTGGGGGGTGAGAGGACTCACCAGAGACAAAATGGGGAACAGAACGGGCAGACTGACTGAAATACACTGCTGACGGGAGCAGCGGGTGAGTCAGGAGAGGTCTGCTGCACCATGTGGGTGGGTAGCTCCCTGGCCAGGGATCGAACTCGTGCTGCAGTGGCTGCACATTGCTTCATAGGTTGAGTTTTAACCCTTTGCGCCACCAGGGAGGCCCCTGTCCTGAGCATTTTACAAACATTGACTCGTGTGAACTTCAAAGCCCTGTGCGGTGGAGATAACTGCTATACCCATTGTGCAGGTGAGGAAGTTGAGGTTATCTACGGCTCAGTAACCATCCAATGCCAGCATTTCAGCAGCCTGACCCCCCAATCACTTCCTCCAGGAACCTCCCCTTCAGCAGCCTTTACTACTTCTGAACGTCCTTCCACATCAGCTCTGTCCTTGACCACAGGCACCCGACTCAGAGCCAAACGCCATCATGTCATCATCCACAAATAAGGAAATAGGGGCCCTGAAGCCCTGAGAGGTTTATGACACACCCATGCCCCCAAAATTATAGAAGTAGTAAGGAAGAGAAAAAGAATCGAGTGCATTTCAAATTTAGGGATATTGTCCCAGTCACTAGCAACCCAGCACAGACAGGACAGGATGCATGCCTGCCCTGGTGATGATCCTAACCGGCTGGGAGGTAAGTGATACTTAACTTGAAAACCAAGGAGGGACTGGGAAGCCAGCTCCAGGAAAGTGAGCTTTTCCTAGGGCCGCACCTCGCTTTACTAGGGACCTGTTGAGGACAGGGACAATCCCGGGGCTCCCGACCGCATTCTCCCCACAGCCGCGAGAACTGTAACTCAAGGAGGGCAGAGAGAAGCTGGACATCCTGCCAGAGCCAGGGCTCTGTCATATGGGTACCCGGAGGTTTATCGTCTCCAGGGGGAGAGGCGGTGCCTCCTCCGGAGGCGGGGCGGTCCTTCCCGTAGCTGCGCGTCGTACCCGGTAGACCCACGCCGGCGGCGGGACGCGCGGCAGGGGTCATCGACTGGAGGGAAGGTCCCGATTGGCTCCCCCTTAAGGGGGCGGGGCCTCCGTTTCCGGGTGCGCGCGCTGTGGTAAGGCGTTGCCGAGGGTGCAGCGGGAAGGGGCGTGGCTGCGCGCGGGCGGCCGTTGGCTGCACGGCCCGACCCCGGATGTCGCGCGTCGTAGGCTGGGCAGCGGCGATTGGCCGACGCGGTGCTGGGGGCGGGGCGGAAGGTTCTGGAGGGGGCTGGCGGGCTCTGGAAGCTTCCGCCGGACGGGTATATAGAGTCCGGGACCGGGCGGCGGCGGAGCCGGGGTACGGCGACAACTAGGCGGCGGGCCGCAAGTGGGGGCCATGGGCAAGGACTATTATCAGACGCTGGGCCTGGCCCGCGGCGCGTCGGACGAGGAGATCAAGCGCGCCTACCGCCGCCAGGCGCTGCGCTATCACCCGGACAAGAACAAGGAGCCCGGCGCCGAGGAGAAGTTCAAGGAGATCGCCGAGGCCTACGACGTGCTTAGCGACCCGCGCAAGCGCGAGATCTTCGACCGCTACGGGGAGGAAGGTGTGTGCGCGCGCGCGCGGCCGGGGTCGCTCCCCCGCCGTTTGACAGGCAGGGAAACCGAGGCTCGGCTGTCCCACTGCTGCATTTCCGGGGACGCCCCGGGCCTGGTGGGCCAGCATCCCCCACCCTCTTTCGACGCGGTCCTCCGCCCTCGGATTGGAGGCGGCCGGGTGGGAGGAGGAGCCCTGGCCGCGCCGCTGCCCGGGAAGCTTCTGGCACGTCTGGAGCGGTCTCTCCCTGAGCGCTTCCACTCACGTTCCCGAGCGGCCCGCGGTTGCGAGTGCGGACGCTGAGGGAGATGGAGGAATAACTCGGCTGATGGCGCCGCGTCCCCAGGTCCCCCGGGCGGAGGTGGGAGGCTGTGCCACCCAGCGGTATGGGGTGGGGCTTCTGACTCTGAGCGCGGGGCCGGACCTGCGGGCATTGAGTCTACAATGAGAATGCCAATTAGCACCGACCTCCCTCCTGAGTCCCTGTGAGTGTGGAGTGAGGTAATCCCTGTAAAGTGCTTACCTAGCCCCGTGCCAGGCACGTAGATGGCAGCTTGCACCGACTTGGGCCGTCCAGGTGCAGGGAGTGGCGCTGCCTCTGCCCATCCTCCTCGAGGTTTGCCCTGTTCAGGGAAAGAGAAAGGAGCTTTCTTGTGTCCAGATGACGGGTGATGACTCAGACTGCCTTCTGGGCTTGGTCTTAAGAAATGAAGTGACTTTTATATAAGGATGGTGGCAGTTAGTGCCAGGGTGTGAGAATTTGAACATCTCTGTTTGTTTTGCCTCTTCCCCACACATCACTAACTCTAAAATATTTCAGAGTAAGCATGTTGTGAAAGCTGGACCAGTGTGGTACCTTTTTCACCCATCCGGTGGTAAATTTTTTGTAAGTCCTGTGACATTGTGAGTGTTTCTGTCACGTATAAGGACCTGGGTCTTAGAGATGACCATCTGAGAAATTGAGCCTCTCACCCTTCATGCCACACTGAAATGCGTGGAGGGGAATGTCTGTCTCCTAGAAAGAGAAGCCAGCTGCCTCATTTCCGGTTTTACCTTTCAGGCCTAAAGGGCAGTGGCCCTAGTGGTGGGAGCAGCGGTGGTGCTAATGGTACCTCTTTCAGCTACACATTCCATGGAGATCCTCATGCCATGTTCGCTGAGTTCTTCGGTGGTCGAAATCCCTTTGACACCTTTTTTGGACAGCGGAACGGAGAGGAAGGCATGGACATTGATGACCCGTTCTCTGGCTTCCCCATGGGTATGGGTGGCTTCACCAACATGAACTTTGGCCGCTCCCGCCCTACCCAAGAGCCCACCCGAAAGAAGCAAGACCCCCCTGTCACCCACGACCTTAGGGTCTCGCTTGAAGAGATCTATAGCGGCTGTACCAAGAAGATGAAAATCTCCCATAAGCGGCTGAACCCTGATGGAAAGAGCATTCGCAATGAAGACAAAATCTTAACCATCGAAGTGAAGCGGGGGTGGAAAGAAGGGACCAAAATCACATTCCCCAAGGAAGGAGACCAGACCTCCAACAACATTCCCGCGGATATCGTCTTTGTTTTAAAGGACAAACCACACAATATTTTTAAGAGAGATGGCTCAGACGTCATTTACCCAGCAAGGATCAGCCTTCGGGAGGTAAGACACTAGGTGGAGTGGTGATGGCTGTGGAGGGAGGTGGCTACTATTTGAATCTGTTTAGTATTTGAGTGCTTATTTTGACAGATATTTCAGAGTGCTTACTGTATGCGAGGCTGAGGGGATGCAACTGGAACAAGACTTACACTTTTTCTGGAGCTCCTTTTGCTAGTGATCTAGTAGCAGGGTCATAGCTGCTCTTACCCTACACTAAAATCCTCTGGGCAGGAGTTGGGTGCCCTGCGCTAACTTCAACATAATACTATCCTTTTTTTTAAAGGCTTTGTGTGGCTGTACAGTGAATGTCCCCACTCTGGACGGCAGGACCATACCCGTCGTATTCAAAGATGTCATCAGGCCTGGCATGCGGCGAAAAGTACCTGGAGAAGGCCTCCCCCTCCCCAAAACACCTGAGAAACGCGGGGACCTCATTATTGAATTCGAAGTAATTTTTCCTGAAAGGATTCCCCAGACATCAAGAACCTTACTTGAGCAGGTTCTTCCAATATAGCCACCTATGTTCCTCAAGGACTGACCAGGGACCTTTCCAGAGCGCAAGGATTTCTGGACCGTTCCACCAGTTGTGGACCTGTGAGATGGCGGGAGGGCCCAGGGAGGGCTTTCGTACTGCTGAATGTTTTCCAGAGAATATATTACAATCTTTCAAAGTCGTTCACTAGACTTAAGTGGTTTTTCGAGCGACAGGGCGGCAGGTGGTGGGGACAGCAAGATAACGAATTCCAGTTTGCCCACTGGCTCCTGATCCATCTTGAGATGGGCCCACACCCTCTCCATCCAGGCCCTGCCCAGAGGCAAGAGGCAGCCCTGCAGCTGGACTTGAGACCCTTTTGTGGTCCCTTTGCTTATCATTGTTACGTGTTGTTGACCTGCCAGACCCTTTCCCTGACCCCATACATTCCTGAGTTGCTGTTGTATGAGCAGTTAATGTTCCATTCTGTATTTGTCTCCCACATCTTGCTCTTCTCCTAAAGAATCCTATCTTGTCTTTCGCCATCTCAAATTGAAAACCTAGACTATTTTTGCAGAACTGCCTGGCCAGCACCCACAAGCAATACCTCTCATTCCAGCAGGACCAAGGGAGCCAGCCTCAAATGAGTGAGTGATTTTCATGGCCTCCTCTCCCTCAAGGGCCAAAGGCCCTGGCCAGAGTAGGGAGCCCAGTCTACTACTGCCTCTGAGGCCAAAGGCCAAATGCGCACTCATTTATGAGTCGTATTTTTTCCTTCTGTAAGGCAATCTTTTAGCACACCTGGGCCTTACCAGTAGCCTAGGTCTTTTTTTGTTTGTTTGTTTCATGGACTCTGGACTCTTTCAAGGGGATCTAATCCTTTTGAATTTTGCACAGCCCTTGATATAATCCCTTTTGATAAAAGGGTCTTTGCTTCTGATTACAGGAGCACTGTGGGAACGTCTGTAAATATGTTTTTATAATTCCTGGTAAAATTGGTGTGCACTCAAAACCCAGCCACAGCAGCTGCTGCTCTGTGTATAGGGCCATGATGAAATTCAGAAGGGTCCTTGGGAGTGGGGATAGATAGATGGAACAAGTGTCTGTTCCCAGCAGTCCAGTCTGGTGCTCAGACTCATTGTAAGTTGCCACTGCCAACACAAGACCAAAGTGTGTGACTTGTCAATGTGCAGCGTGATAGCATTAAAGACTGATGCTAAACCTCAGGGGAGCGGTCCTGCGACTCTGTTTGAGGGCTCTGCTGATTGGGGTGGGGAATGGGCATCCCTCCAATGGTTGGAGGGGGGAGTGGGAAGGGCGGGCAAGAAGTTGGAGTCCTCTGCAAGGAAGACACAAGTGCCGTAGCATATGGATCCTACATTCTGGATCCAAGCATCCAAAGAGCTGAGGTGATGAGAGCTTATGTTTTTGTGAAGTTTGGGGCCAAAGTTAAGCAGTTGCCTTGCCTGTTTTCCAGAGCCTGGTAGGTGTGTCTGTCCTCATAATCCCTCTCCACTGCTTTCTTGCTGGAACAGGCTGGGTGTCAGGCAAGCCCTTGCCAAACCAGACAGCCTAGGAGAATTCCAGCCCAGGACTGCCCCACCCTGGAGAAGACCCATTTTCTGCCCTTGCTTTATTTGCAGGCATCTGAAGCTGGTTTTACTTTTTAACTTTTTTAAGAAACTTTTTATTATAAGGTAAGTAATTATATAGATTATATAAATTTGAGGCGATGTATTGCTACTTTTGCTACAAAATGTTTTAAAGTAAAAAAGAACAGCTCATTTAAAGCAACAGAGGAATGGCTTTCCCTTCCCACTGAAACAATTAAACTACTAAAAACAATCTCTGAGCAGCACTGACTAACTGGCTGCACTCATGGAAATGTTTTGTATGTAAGAGTGGTCCAGTGAATCAAGAAACACCATCTGTCAGGAGGTGACCCCTGAAATATCAAGCCCCAAAGGAACCTTATCACAAGACCTACTTACAGAACTACTTCAGGCACCAAGAGGACATTTAGTGCAGCAAAGTGCAGCTTTGACTCCAGTCTCAGTTGGAGTCATGGTTGCTATTGCCCTGCCTCCTGAATCACATCACTGCGTACTAAGCAGGTCCGAGTCCCTGTGAACTTCATATCAAAGTGCCACTGGCACTAAAGTACACAAAGCCTCAACTTCTGGAAACCTCCAGAAACAACCTACTGAGGGTAGAGCATTGTTCAATGTGAGTCTTCAGGGAAAATGTTGATGGTAAAAAAAGCAAAGACTCAACCATCTAGAAGGCCCGCCCCTCAGATATGAATTTTTTTTTTTTTGGACCATGCTGGACACTATGTGTGACAGTGGTTTTTGGTGCAGCCACAGACCTCTCCTTACTCAATTCCTTGGCTTCTGTAGTGAAATTATAAAGTGAATTTATCTTCCTGTTCCCATGCCTTTCTGAACGCATTTGAGAGCTCCATTCATGTTAGTACATGTGGACCTGCCTGCTTCTTTGACATCCCACATCCCCATAGTGTGGCATTTTTACCTGATTCAAACAAACCCAAAATGTATACTTAGCCACTATTGAACAGTTGAGCCCCTCCCTTTCTGGGCCCACAGTTCCCTTTCCCAAATGGTAGTTTAGACAAGCCATAGCACTGGCGATGCTCCGCTTTTCTCAAAAACGTTTTTGTGCATCCTCTGAGAGTTTGCTTATATAAGCATAATTTTCAGTTCTTGGCTGTGGAATCACAGTACCAAACTGGAAATGGCATATAGTGTGAAAGTCCTCCCTCCCACCCTGCTGTTTGAGTCCACCCCCAGTGAATGTTCTCAGATTCACCAGTGCATTTCTGGAGGTGCTGCACAAGTACTGCACAAATGATTATTTCTTTTTTTAAAACAAATAGATTATATTGTATGCTCTTTTTTACCCCTTGCATAATACAGCATGGAAATTAAGTGCTTCCTTGTTCCCCTTATTTAACACATTTATTCTGCCAGTCCTGCTTGGGTGGCTGTGAAAATCCAGGTCAGTGTTTGTGCCTCTCTCCTTAGTCATTGTTCCTATTTCCAGGTTTGAGTCGCAGCTCGACCACTTGTTAGCTGTGAGACTTTGGAAAAGTGACTTAACCTTTCTGTGTTCCAGTTTCTTTGACTGTAAGATAGGCATAACACTAATACCTCTTCAAGGGTTATAAGAATTTCCAGATATAGACCTGGCATAGAAATATAAGCACTATGTGTGTCAGCTATAATTACGCCCTAACATGAAGGTTTCTTAGTCTACAGCTGGTAACTCCAAAGAGGTGAGGTGAATTTGGGATCTTTTAAGTCATTGCTCTCAGCTAAACTCCAGGAACCAATCCCCAGGCATGCCCCTAAGACCCTCAACTCTAGGCCTGGCCCTCACCCAGCCTTAAGGCAACAGTCCCTAAAGCAAGCTCACTACCCTGCTGTCGTGATCTGCACTCAACAGAGGCAACCTCCTTTGAAAAATGGGAAAATGAAGGTACAGACTTCATAGAGGTGCTGTGAAAATGGCATGATAATGCATTGAGGAACACAGCATGAAGAATATGACTTTTGACCCAGGTCAGCCTCCCAGCTACACCATGGTGCCCAAAGGCAGCTCCCAGCAGCAATCTGAGGAGGACCTGCTCTTACAGACTCCCAGCCTCAAGTCCTCTGCACTCTTCGGGGTGGCCATTGCCATCTGGTTAGATTGGCAAATATGGCATATGGCCCTTATTCAGTCTGCTGTTATATATAGTGTGATGACCCAGCACGTAGTTAGTAGCCTTTTTTCTTAAGCACAACGTAGCAGGGAAGAGGGAGGATGCCATTTCTAGAGAAGTGACGAGAAGACTTTCAGAAGCTGATCAGAGATGTTTGGAAAGGAAAAGATAAAAGGAATTTGTGGAAGAACAAAGTTGCTGATTATGAGGACACAGCATTTTCCATCTTCTGTAATACTCTATTCCTAGATGCTTCCTCCTTTACATTGAAGAACTTCAATCACTATGAATTTTGTCTAGAATTGCTTCATCAGGCCTCATTGTCCTCCTGTGTACTGGCTCTGAGACAACCATTTCAGCTTCACCTCTGGCTTTGCATATATGGGTGCCCTTTAGTATATGGAAAAGTTGCAGAGTGAAAGATAGTCTGGGGCTTGAGAATTTAAAAATCTATAAAATATATGGGTTCTCCCTGGTGGCGCAGGCGATTTAGCGCAGCGCTGTGAAGCTGTCCACAGCCTCTGCAGCACAGGTTTGATCCCAGCCGGCCGGCGAGAATCCCACATGGCGCAGCAGATCTCTCCTGTCTCGCCCGCTGCTCCCCTTAGCAGTGTATTTCCTCAGTCTGCCTGTTCTGGTCCCCGCTCTGTCTCTGGTGAATCCTCTAACCCTCCCGTGCATCTGGCCTGTTCCCCGGTTCTTGTATAAATAAATCAATCTTAAAAAAAAAAAAAAAAGATCTAGGCCTTCAAGTACAGACACTCATGGTCCCTCCCACAAAACTGACACTGTTTTTCACAGTCTGCTGATTCCAGGCTTGCCTCAGTTGGTTTGAAGTCTAAGTTCTTCTACCTTTCAAACATCTTAACTTCTGTCATGGGAGAGGAGAGAAAACTTTGAGGAAACTCCAGAAGCAACTTGGTTTCCTGAGGTCAACTATGCCCTAGTAATCTTCGTATAACCAGTGCCCAGGGCAGCATAATGCCCAAAACTGACCCTCCACGTGTTTGTCAAATGAGTAATCAAATGACACAGCAATTCAGATAAAAGGACCTACCACATTTGTTCAATGATCACTCATGTTAGGGCACATGCAGAGGAAAGACAAGCCAGTCCTGGGATCTGCTGTGCTGCCCCCCGAGAAGGGGCCATATTCCCCACTTTCTCCAGCTCCCACTTGGAAAAAGTATATTCATTACCTCTGACTCCAGGAGAGTGCCTCTCTCCTGGGGATCTGTTTCATGTATTACTCACTGGGCACATTTTCTGAGGGCCAGCTCAACAGTAGGCCCATGGGATCCAGTGAGTGGCAGATAGCAATGGGTAAGGAGCCCAATGAAGTCTTCCAGGAACCCCAGATCTACCTAAAAGGGAGATTTTCATTTCCTGTGGCTACTATCACAAAGAACTACAACCTGGGTGTCCTAAAACAACAGGAATTTATTCTCTTCCAGTTCAGTAGGCCAGATGTCAAAAACTAGGGTGTTAACAGGGCTGACTCCTGGTGTTTCTGAGGGACAATCCATCCTTTGCATCAGCATTCTTTGGCACCCCTTACCCTGGGGCTGCATCACTCTAGTCTCTGCCTCCATCTTCACGTGGCCCTAGCCTCTGTGTATCTCTTTTTTGCCTCATATAAGAGCACTTGTCACTGGATTCATGGCCTACCCTAACGCAGGGTAATGTCTACTCAGGGATCCTTAACTACATCCACAAAGACCCTTATTCCAAATAAGATCACATCTACAGGTTCAGGGATGTAAGTTTATCTTTTGGGGGAAATAACATCCAACCTATCATACTGGGCAAGGCACTTCCCATGACCAGAGAGCTTGGAGGAAGGAGGCCTGGTGGGCCCATTCACCCAGGCCTGGGACAGGAGTTTGTCACAGAGCAGGGATGGGGCCATGGGAGGAGACTCCATGGACCAGACTTCCAGGCAGACAAGGCTTGTGGACAGAGCCAGGCTGACCTGAGGACAGTGAGTGCCCATCTGTCCTCCCACCATCCACCCAGAGAGGAGAGAGTAGGAAGGGGCGTGGCCAGGGATGAGATAGGTCAGGCCAGGGTCCTGCTGAGGCAAGTCTGAGTGCCTGCGGCAGGGGAGAAACCAGCTGAAAGAGTCTGAGTCAGGAAGGACTCAGGGTGATTTGCTTTTGCCTAGAAGGTGGTTTGTCTCAACAGAGCCCAATGCTCCTTAGGGAGATTATGCTGGACACCAACATACTGATGCCAAGCCTGACTCCTGATAAAATACTTCAGGGAATGGTGTTTTGAGTCCACAACATATCAAGGTGAAGTTGTCAGCAGGGAAAGGACCTGACCTGACTCAGGCACTCATAGATGCCCTTTGGCCAACTGTGGAAGAAACAGACTTGGAGAGCTGGGAAATCAGGAAGATGATGGGTCCGAACCAGGTGGGAGCCAGAGGAGGTGGTGGGAAGTGACTGGAGATGTATTTTTTTTTTCATTTTTTTTTTTTTAAGATTTATTTATACAAGC